TACGCACCTCCACTTTTTTCTATCCTGAGCTAATCTTCGCATTTCCCTAAAACTAGAACAGCACACATCCTTAATTATTTGCGAACAGTAATCTAATCTAGGTCTACCTCTACCCCTCCTAACTCCCGTTTCTGTCTCTAATATGTCTCTGATTAGACTTTCATGCCTGAGAGGGTGTCCTACCAATTTATTTCTTATTGACTTCCATTGAGTCCTTTGTTCTCCTATTCTTTCTAATACCTCTTCATTTCTAACCTTCTCTATCCACGGTATCCTCATCATTCGCCTGTAATACCACATTTCGAACACTTGTAACCTTTTCTTCTCTGCCGTGCCCACTGTCCATGTTTCGCACCCGTACAGTGCCGCGCTCCAAACATACACCTTTAACAATCTTTTTCGAAATTATAAATTAACCGTTCGCGAGCATAGAAGTGACTTCTTTTTATTAAAGGCGACTCGACCCTGCGCTATCCTCTGCTTTATATCCCTACTACTCCTTCTGTCTTGACTTATCTGACTTCCTAGATATCTAAAATCAGCCACTTCTTCTAATTTTTCGTCTTTATATTATATTTATTTATGTAGCATTAAAACCAAATAATTTTCTAAAATATTGTCGTAACTTTAATTTTATTCTATAGGTAGATACCATGATTAATTTTATGAATTTCTATGTGCCATATTATGAAAATATTATATCGTTTTCCGCGTTTTACCTATGCCGTTTACTTTTCTTCGCGTCAAGGACGAATTCCTCAGATTGTACTCGGGCTTTGAATTGTTTTCCCTCTTTTTCTTCAGCAAATGAATGTCTGTACATAAGTATACTTACGTATACAGATTCCATTTCGGAATTATGTAACATAAATAGTTTACGGTCTGTGGCGAGTTTACTTTATTTAGATGTTGCCTAATCATTACCTTACACTAGTTTATTGTAACAACAGTGACTTTAAAGTCTGTTAAATTTTTAGTCAATATGCCAGACGTTAAAAAATGTTCATCATCATCACGATAATAGTGCAGGGTGGAATATTTCTGTTTTGTACAAATATTGTCGAGGGTACAGAAAAGGACATAGGGAAAAAAAATTCTGTTCTCAAGGGATAGAAAAATTAGTTTTATATGATCGTCGACGATCCTTGACACGTATTCAGGTCATCGAATCGAGCGAAGCTGTGAGTAAAACCTATCAGTGGTGTTGGGGAGAGCTTGGAACTTCATGGAAGCAAATTTAGTTTTCATCTTTCATTTTTTGTACAAAATCCAAGATTTCCTTCATCTTCTTTGTCGTACAATTCATATCGTCCATTTGGACACTGATAACTCGTGCGTGCATTTTTGACCAGTATTTGACCGCATCTAAACAACTGCAGTTCCAGGAATTTCCGTTGGCCGAAATGTAGTTAACAGGTGGTAAACTGTTGAGGAAATCTTCACTCAAACAATCCTAATTATTTTCGTCGAGAATAAGCGTTCCAACTCTTGGTAAAGACGAAGAAAGCGTTTGTGGGAAGCATTTTGATAGAATTTTTGTGGAGATCCAAATAACCAATCTGTCCCATCCCTTGGAACGCCAGAGAGTCAATCATGGATATTTTGTTGTTGGAAAGATTGATTGCGGTGCCAACCGGCTAACCGTCTAACTCATGGGTGCCCTTAAGGTTTGCGAAGGCGTTTCCCGGTAGGGACGCAATTTTGTTGTGAGCAAAAGACACGGTTACAATGTTGGGGGAGTTGGTGAACCAGCTGGGGCTCCACATGGAAATCTTGTTGAATTCCGTTTCAATAGTCCTCAGGTTTGGCATGTTATCAAACGCTGCAGGGTCTATAACGCTAATACTGTTGTTGCTCAGACTTAAGAAGGACACAGT